TTAACTGGATTTACCCCTCGCGACTTTATATAATTCTATTGTTTGCACCATTTTTCTCGTGTTCCGTTAAAATTCTAATTCGTTTAGTCGCAGTCCACAAACATCTTCTCAGTGAAGTGGAAGTGGAAGTGGAAGAGGAATATCTATCTTCTGTGCTTGACGTGGGCTGGGGATGTTGGGGAAGCATTCTCTGACGCTGCCACTTGTAGCAGCCTTGGTGACGTTAACGGTGCGGTTGCTCACCTACAGGGTCAAGGAATACATTCCCCTTCCGTATCATTTTGGCATAACAACCCCCAATACCGGCGCTGAATCTTGGAAAGAGACTGTCTTTTGGAAGCAGCAGTTTGGAGTTGTACCGGACTATCTTACTGTCGTGGTGCCCTGGTACGTAGAGTACATCCCACGCTTGCCGTCTGTGGTAAATGTGAACATCTTGTGCGTATGTGATGCCTTGACTGTCTTCATTGTTAGTCAATGGCCGTCGGCTATTCCCCAGCTTCTTTTCACACTATTTGTTCTGAACCCAGCCATGGTTCTCTTGCCGGCGTTGGAATCGTTGGCGCCCATAGAACACCTGGTGCTCACTCTCATCATTGAATGCTCTCGAAGGCGACGAAGCCGAGGTTGGTTAATCTATGTTGCGCGGATTCTTGCATCTGTGCTCGGATTTCATTTCATTGCCCTCACTGTAGCTCTGTGGTTTCCTGTCGGGACTTCAAGCTCAAGGTGGGCGCTTTTCGGGGTGCTTCTGGGCGAGTTGATTGTGGGTGGTTTTGGTCTGCTCTACCTTGTCTTCTGGGGAGGCCTGCGTGCTCGGACGTCCCTGTACTCACCGCCTGACAATGGCGTGATGTGGTACGTGCGCCTCCTTATTATTCCCGTATTTGAACGCTGCATGGAGGTATTTCAAATTCAGTTACCCGCGTTTGTGACGCTGCTCGTCGCGGTTGCATTGCCCCCCGAGGTGCCCGCAATGACGCTGAGGTGCGCAAGCTCTGTTCCCGGGGACCGACGGCTGCTGCTGGTTTTGTTTGCCGTTTGCGCTAGTAAGCTCTGTCGTTGCCATCTCGCCCTTCCAGACTATTCAGTAGCGGTTGTGTTTATCTATTCCCTCCTGGATACAATGGGGGGAAAGGGAAAAGTAGGAAAAGCGGAGACGGAGCAGTCCATGTTTGACCGCATTAAGAACGCCAATGTGTTTGTGCCCGTCTACACTTTGTTGCTTGTAGTGCCACTTCAGTACGGCTTCTACACGGGGTGGGTAATGTGGGACACGGCGAATCCCAACTGGGTCTTCTTCCCGCAGGTTGCATTCGTCATTGTGGGGGCAATCTTCATGCTTACGTTCCTGGGGAAGGCGTTTGCCGCCATCAAGGCGGAGGCGACGGTTGGGGACAAGCCCAAACGGTTGTAGCGTGCCCACGTTATTGCGTCCCTGGTCTTTGCCTGATGACTATGTGTTGTGGCCCTTTCCTCCCCGAATATATATACATATATATATATCCAACAAGCGGCGGCGCCAAAGATGCCTTCATGCAACTATTTGTTTTTGTATAATTCTGACTGGACGGGAGGGGGAGATCGTAGATGGGGGCGTGAAGGGACGGAAGCTCACCCCTGTCTTTGGTTAAGCCCCCGCAGTGTGACCGCTCTGAAGAGAGAAGGGTGGAGGGTGCGAGAAAGGCAACCGCAGCAAGCAATCACCCAAAGAGAAGAAAGAGGAAACGATAAAAGTATCACGACAGGCGGGAGGAGGAATAGGAAGGTTCTGCACATGTGTGGGGATTGCGTTCTCCATGGTTTGTGTGAAATGAGTGGTAGCCGCGTGACGGTGTCTGATGTCATGTTCTGTTGTTGTTGTTTTTTTTCCCCTTTTTTTTCTCACTACCACCCACGCCCATCACCCCAAAACACGCACAACTTTCAACTCTCACCCAAACAATAATAATAAAAGCGCGTGTAAGTATCTGCCGTTTTCACTACTGTTTGGGATGAAGGGTGTGCGCACCGTTTGGCTTGTTGTTTGCGTCACACTTCTTCTTCAAGTGTTGTCTTCGCGCGCGGAGCCGTCAGTGGTGCCTGCTCGATCCCAGCGACAGTCCGTTCAGCATCCTTCTTCCAGGGCGTCACCCACCAAGTTCTTGGTGTTCCCGTTCGCCGCCTGTGACGCGGATGCGAAGCGGCTATGCCCCACGCAAAAGGAGTCGCCACTGAAATGTCTTCTGCAGCACTTTGAGTCCCAACGGTTCTCCGAAGCACCGTGGCGACGACGGCCTGCATTCAGCGAGGCCTGCCGCAGGTGGCTATGGGCACGGCAGGAGTGTGTGTCGTACGTGCGGCTGCCGGGAAGGTGCCGCGCTTCGGAAAGTGCAAGGGACTGTCTTCGACGCGTGCCACCGCGCGACCTCCCGCCGGGCTGCCGCGACACAGAGTACTACCGAAGCGTTTTGCTGTATGGAGAGATGAAGAGCAAGCAGGGAATGCGGCCCCGCAACAAGAGCAACGACAACGAGACACAGAAGTTAGCGGAGTAACAAAGAACAAGCAAACTCGGGGCAGTTGAACGTTGTGAGGCGTTGCTTGCCAGGGATGCACGTTACCCCGAGGCAAAGCCCGTACAAGCGCACAAAAAAAACGGGAAGAAGAAGAGCAAAAGGAAAAAAAAAGCAGAAATTAAGTACAACAGAGCAAAACACACATTTGTGAAAAAAAAAAGAGAAGAAAAAAAACGGCAAGGAAAAAGGACAGGAATCGTATTTACAAGGAAGTAAGTGAAAGGGGGAAAAATAGGGAAAGTGAAGATTTGAGGGAGCAAGGACAGATACTGACAGAACTAACACTGAAGACAAATCTGTAGCGCGAGGAACGTGATGTGTGAGACCCCTACATAAATTCATCCCCTAGGAAGATCTATTTATACAGTCGCACACGCGCAAATAATATATATATATATATATATATATATAATTCGAAGCAAGAGTAAGTTTAGAGCCTTGTATTTCACAAGAGGCAGACATACGATTTCTGGGTGTCGTTGAAAGGGGGGGGGGGGGAGAGCTCTACGCTTGGCCACGTCTCCGCTGCCTCTCCCTTGTCACTCTGTCCCGGGTGGCGTATGCAAAAGACGCTATTGTGGACAATTTGTGGGCCCCAGGCCCATATGGACGTTTGACCCCAGTTGTAGTCAAGCCTCATGTATTTGTTTTGTTTTGTTTTGTTTTTCCTGTTCCTTCTTTGCCCCCAATAGCTTCAGCGTTTTATACGCGTCACGACGTGAGTGCGAGTGAACATGATCGGAGCATCGTTGACGTGTCGCGGCACCATTTTTTTCACCCGTTTTTTTAATTTTCAGTAAAACAAAAAAGAAGTATATTTGTGTGTGTTTTCTGTACACAACTGTGTTTATTCTTTTACATGGAGGGAATGCATTTTCGGAGGGTTGGGGGGTGCGTGAACCTTCCTTCTTTTCTCTTCAT